GCGCGGGCGCGATCCGCGGGCCGGCGGCGGGGCGCGCGGCGGCAGCGCGGGGCCGCCGCACCTCGTGAGGGCACTGTTTGAGGGGGGGCCCAGGGGGTGCAACGGCGGCGGGCTCAGCGAGGACGGCTGCAGGCCGTGCAGTCGCAGCAAGGCAGCGGGTTGGGTGCGTGCTGTACAGGTTCTTCTTGTTCCAGGTTCCCTGTACATAACAAATGCTGCAGGCCCGCCATTCGCAGGCCTCTGCTCACCTCGTCCGTGTAGTGGCCTACGCCAGCGCAGTTGGCGCACTTGGGGAAGGGGCACTCCTCCGCCGAGTGGTCGTCCTCTCCCTCCACGGCCGCGCTGGTGCCGACGTTGCAGTTGGCGCACGCGCCGCTGCAGCACTTGGGCGGGTGCCCGTGGCGGTTGCACTTGGTGCAGTACGGCACCTGGGGGTTGGGGGCCAGCCGCACGCTGTCAAGAGCGCGACTTCACATCACTGATTGCGCGGCTGTACATGCTCTCCGGTAGGCAGGCGTCCCGCCACAAGCGATTTGGCATGGGTGCACCCCACCCGCCATGCCAGCGCCACCGAGGGCGATTCGCCGCCTCGCGGCCAGCACGGCAGCTGCCGTGAATCAGCACTGATGCTCCTTGCAGGCTGAGGCCTTGCTGCAACCAGTACCACAATCCCTCCCAGGCGCCTCAACAGCTGCGGACAGTTGCAGCAACCGCCCCAGCTGCGCCCCTCCGCGCGGTCAACCGGCCGCGGAACGTGGACCGGCCCGCAGGCAGCCATTCACACCTTGCACTCGTCCGCGCTGTGCCCCCGGAAGTTGCAGCGGCTGCATGCGGGCCTCAGCCGATGCTCTGTGCTCTTTTTCCAGAGCTTCTTGTTCGGCCGGATAAAGCCGTTCCGCGCTGTGGGACATAACATGCGGTGTGCACGGGTGGGCGCGCCGCCAGCGATAGGGGACAAGCGACAAGAGGCTAGAGAGCGCCACGCAGTGACGCGCTTTAACAGAAACGGAGTTCATCGTGCAAGGCGGCTGCTGCTGGGGCGGCGCGTGCTCGGCCGCCCACGCGTCCGTCGCAGCAAGGGGCCCCAGCCCTGGTCCGTGGTCGTCCGTTCAGGGAACCTCCCCAAGGAGATCCGCAGCTCACCGAGGAAAACGTCATTGACGTGCCGAGGCGGCCCCCCGTTCAGGGCGGGTTGGCCAGAGTTGCTCATCTCTGCAGATCGAGCCGCTGCCGACCGCTGCTGCTGCTGGGCCTCCAAGCGCCCCTTCAGTGCTCCTGCGCTCCACCAGCGGGTGGGTGGACGCTGCTGTCGGGCTGCTGCTGATGAACAACACGCCGCAGCTCGCAAGTGTCCTGTAAGCGCTCGTGCTGCAGAACAGGCACCCGTTGTGTTGGAATCAAGGAAACAGAGCGCGACCGTAGCGGGAGAGCGCCGACTGAAGCTTCTGCCCCTTCTGCCCAACACGCACCTTACCCAGCTACCGGTGTGCTTTTCCTGAGCCTGATGTCGCCATGTAGCGTTTGTTCATTTTCTGACATTTTCCAGCAGCATAAGGCACGGATCCAGCCGATCGTATTCGAGTGATCTGCCTGGCTTCAAGCATCCTATTCCTCGTGCCACCGAGCCTACCATCTGGTATAGGTGGGACTGCACCCAGTATATCTACTCCTGGCCTAGGCTACCGCCCTCCTGTCACACGCGTGAACGTGCGGAGCGAGGGGATGGGCGTGCCCTTGCCTCAGGGGGCCCCGTCCCCCAGAACACAACCTGCTGCAGCTGGCATGCCAGTAGCATGTGGGTGCACCACATGGCCAGCATTCAGATTATGATACCAGAAGTACTCCAAAACGTTGCAGGCTTGCTCTGCCTGGCAAATGGTTTGTGCAGCAGTGAGAAAACCTTCATGGCGTGGGCGTGAAGCTCAGCATCTGCAGCGCCGATGCCAGGACGGCAGCTCTGATAGCACGGCCGTGGCCGGTCACAGCGCTTACTCTTGTGAAAATCACTGGCACAGCCCAAAGACAGCCACCGTGTTTGGCCAGATTGGATCATCCGTTTGGGAACATTTGCTGCACATGCAAGTACAGTTTGACCGTGCCCGACATGCTGAGGTGATGTAAGATCTTCAAGGGGATTTCGGTAATGCAGCGGCCAGCGGATGACGTCCCTCAGCAGCACGCATGGCGGATATCCGGTTTGTAACCAGGGGCAGCAAGGTCTGCTGGCTCCCTTGATACGATGTTCCAAGACCGTGCATACTGGTATAGTATCATATCTGTGCAGCCCTCCTGACTCAGAGACTCAGACCCCCTTAAGAATCAGAACATCACACCGAGCAGGCTTGATCGCAAACCTGTGAGCTGAACAGCTGATGAAAGTGTTTGTGAGTTCGCGCTGACTGGCGGGGGATGTCCGGGGATGTCCGCGGCCGGGCGGTGGGGGCGGTTTGTAAGCAGGAGCAGCAAGGTCTGCTAACTCCCTTACGGGAGCTTCGGAGGAATCCTCGAGGGGATGATAAACGCGAAGTTGTGCAGAAAACATGCATTCTTGGCGAAGGATTCCCGAGGGATCGACTACGATTCCCCGAGGGATTGTGATGGGAAATATGCTGACTGTTTCATGACCGTGCATACCGTACTGATATGGTATTGGTGCAATCCAATGTTGGTGTCTCGGCCCCCTTAAATTTCAGTACATCACGCCGAGCATGCTTGATCGCCAATTTGTGAGCTATTGAAAGTGTTAGAGCTTGCGCTGACCGGGGGGGGGGGGTCGTGGGTGGCCGGGCAGTGGGTGCGGCGGACTGGCGGGTCGAGGCGGTTGCCACCACCATCCTTCTCGGTGAACGCTGCTGCAGCATCAGTGGTGTACTTCTAGAAGCTCATCCCATCATCGTGTGCACTCGACGTGTAGTGGAGGTGATCAGTGGCCGGTGACAGGTAGCAAGGTGAGTGTCAGATCGCTGGGTGAACTGTCGAACGCTTTGCACGATGAATGTTTGTAAGGCATTGCCTATATCTCCAACGCCACACGCCGTCGCAAGCCACCGGGAATTGAGGAACAGCCTAGTTGTGACAGCCAGCGCGTCCTCGAGCCTGCTTTCAGGCGTGCTTTCGTCTTGAAAATGCCGGGAAGGGAGGCGGGCAAGGCCAAGCCGCTCAAGGTATAGCAAGAAGCGCAGCTTTGCAGCGCCGTACGCGCGTATGCTGCTGTTGCTCTTGCGCAACGCAGGGGCGAGCATGCACGGAAGTCGCTGCAGGACATGGCCATGTGACTTGCCCGTCTGTCCAGTCTCCCATAATTGCCCGAGCGAGCAATACATGCAAGCGACGGCAGCTGCTTCTCCAGCCAAACCAGCGACGATGTGCGCTGATTGAGCCGCCGCCTGCTTTCGCCTGCCCTCCCACGATGCACCCCAGGCACCAAAGAAGGGTCCCAAGGACTACGACGACGACGAGCTGGCGTTCCTTGCCAAGAAGAAGGTGCGGTAACCATTGCCTCCAGGGTATCCATTCCTGTTACAGCGACGTCGCGACGGTTGTATGCGCAGGGTCGTTTCTGTAGGACCACGCTCCTGGCTGAGATTTTGGCGTGCAGGCGAAGTGCCCTGTTACCGCTACAGCTGGGGGCTGTATGCTATGGATGGAAGCAACACTTGAACCAGCCGGCGCCGGCGTGGCCGCAGACTAGCGGCCCCTCCACTGCCCGCGGTTCCTGTTCAGTTTACATGTTCGCTTCCCCCGCCATTTCTCTCATGCCACACTTGCAGGAGGAGGAGAAGAAGCTCAAGGAAGCCCGCGACAAGCTCAAGGGCGGCAAGAAGTGATCTGGTCCGCAGGCGGACCCTGCTGCGCATGCAGCGGCGTGCACCCGTCCGTCGTCACGCATGGGGTTGACGGCGGCCGAGGAGTCGGCGCCCGTCGGTGAAGCTGGCGGCGGTGGCGGCAGGGGCGGCAGCTGCCGCGTGTGCGATTGGGCGCGCGACCTTATGGCAGCAGCAAGCAGGGCGGCCGCACCGCCTGGCAGGGGTGCAGGCTCAGCTGAATCCGGCGACTCGCCGTCAACTAGAGGGACCCCGGCCCCGGCTGCGAACGGCACGTTGATGGCGCCGCCCGACGCCAGCACACGGAGCGGCCCGCCTGCAGGGCCGACCAGCAGCGACGCGGCCGGCATGAGGCGCGCAGACTGCCTGGGCTGCCGGATTACAGGGCTCATTGCGGGGCTGGGCAGCGCTGGGTACCTGTCTTCGCGCCTCCTGGAGGACCCGCCACCTCGTGGCGGGCACCGTGCGACGCTGCTCGCGTCATCAGCACTGCTAGCTGGGCTGGGGCTGGCGCGGGGTTTTGGGTGGTACTAGGCCGTTCAGGAGGAAAGGGGCGCTTGCTCGGCCACCCGAAATAGGCTTCAGTGCCCATGTAAGTACTTGGGCCCATCTCCAGGTAACCTGCCCACCAACTGTTCACAGTGGTAGGGGGTCACGCATGCAGAGAAAGACCCACCTCATCGGTGTATGCAGGCAATCGTGAACCTCTCTGGGTCAGGCATCGCACTTCTGAACAAAATGGGCGCCAGATATGCAGCGTCGTTCCCGGCTCCAGAGATGCAGCTGCCGTCACGGTGTCACATGCGCTCGTCAAATGTTGCTGTTGTCCGGCATCCGCAAAACGCAGTGCGCTCGCTCGCCGGCAGCTGCTGCTGCACAGCCACTGGGGTGGCAGCGCAGCTTGCTCCCGCGCAGCGTGTGGTCGCCTCTCGAACTGCGCCTGTGCCGCCGCCGCCACCACGGTCGCTGTTGGCTGCAGCCCAAAGCTGCAGGGGGGCATTGGGCTTTGCGATGGACTCATGGACTGCATCAGACTGTTTCAAAGTCAGTCGCAGCCCAGCACAGCGCATTGCTCCCGCTACGACCAGTTGTTGACCAGCTTGTATCGCATGCTGGAAGGCAGGGCTCTGTCCTGGGGTGAACAAAGAACACACCCGTGGGATTGCGAAAGAGAAAATCGCCAAAGTCGCATGCATGCAGTGAGGCGCACGCCTGTGGTGCATGCTTGGAGGAAAACGTGTCGTCTTTAAATGTATTGCTGTGGTACATATACCAGCAGTACCAGGCAAGCGTATATCAGTGACAATTGGCAGATGCCATCAAATCATGATCATTTAACATAAGGTCACCTGCGACAAATGGTGTGCCATACATGGCTGAGGCAGGAGAACCAGCGCATGCCGCGTGAGGTGATTGCCATGGGACAGGGGCCGCTGCTGCACAGTCAGGCCCCGTTTCTATGGACTTGAATCACCGTGGAATCACTGGCTAATCAAGCTTGAATCACCAATGAACCGTTTCCATACCCCTCAAATCAACCAAATCACCGCAAATCACCGCGAATCACTTGAATCAGTGAATGATTTTACTCGCCCCCCAAAAATGCAGGCGAGTCGATGTGAATCACCTGAAAACGCGTGAAATGCTTGTTATCACATCGAAAAACCTATATATGGGCCCCACAAATCACCCTGCGCCCTCCAGTGTGCAGCAGGGCCTTGCAGCAAAGGTCATCATCGCACCAGCGGCCTGACGGCCATATACAAGCAGCAAAATACAATACTGTCATATTATCTTATCATGTTAATGGGGCTGCAGGACATAAGCTTGAGGCGCAATCCCAATCACTTCGTGGGTGCAGAAACGAGCACAAGCTGAATCAAATGCAAACCATAGAGATGGCCAGTTGAGGGTGTCAAGTAGTGTCAAGCTGGCTTCGTCGCATCAGGCGACATCTATCAGTGGTGCGTGTGAGGCTGATGCCTACCGTAGCACAACACACTGTCGGGGCCCGTTTGGAGCCGGGTGCGCCTTGCAACAGTTCATTGGCAGAGTGCTTTGCAGTGCCATCCTGCCAAGTGAAGCATGCTGCACGAAGCAGCGAGCCGTGTATGGTACCGTATCACATACCGACGACACGATTGCTAGTGTCCCATCATCTTAGGAGCATAGGCCCGGCACCAGGGTGTTAGATGAGATGTTCATATATTTGCTGGAACCTTGTGCATATCCCAGGCAATCGTACCAGCTCTGCATCGGCGCTCGTCAAGCGAGTCAAAACCGCTGCTGTGTGCGTGAGTTGCTTGACCACGACGCTGTTGATGCTGGGGTGCTGTCGGGCCGCATATGGCGCCGCGCGCGGGTGGCAACGCGGCAAAGTATGCATACACGCGGCAAAGCATGCATTCGAGACGCCGAAGAGGCCCGGCAGGCTGGTGTGCGCTGGCTTGGTGCCCACACCTGGGCCCCGCTCACGGGCTGACAGGGCTAATCGCCTTCATGATCGGCCCGTATTTCGTGGTTTTATATGATGTTTTTTTCACCGGTCTTAGAGGTCATACACTAGCGTTTTCGCGGGGTCGCCTTGGCTGCACCGTCCGCGCGGCCCCGCGCTCGGCCCAGGATTTTTGTGGCTATTTTACGAGGTACCTAAAAGTCATAGAATCGTATGCCGCATCTTTTGGCTCAGGTCGCGGGGGTTTCCGCGAGAATCGATTCCCGGAGGCCAGGAGAGCCCCCCCTAGGGGAAAGTCGGTGAGTCATGCCCCAAGCGTCTGCCCGACGAAGCAAAGTCTCAACTGGCAATCAGCGTGCAATCAGCGACCAGCGAGTGCTGCGTTAGCCACCGATTAAGCGATTTTGTGATCTTATGTTACCGAATTCGGCACCAGCTAGTTGTTTGCTTCACCTGCCACTCCAAGTGATTTGGTGATTCAGTGATTCGGCTCCATAGAAACGGGGCCTCAGTTGCTGATTTGCAAATCACTTACTGGTGCCCTTTGCGAGCGCTTGTACATGCGCAATTGCACTGATACGGCATAAATGCGTACAAGCTACCGGTACCGGTACTTACGCAGCGCGCAGCCTGTTCGAATTTGGGACTTCAACGCTCCGAATTCTGAACATTGTGGCCCAAGCAGCTGCTGTGATCATCGTCATTGGACACGTAGATTCCAAAATGGACGAGATAGATGAGGAGCGTGACAAGCTTCACAAGGAGCTCGAAGACAAGCGGGCTGCACGAGAGAGCCTCTCTCGTACTGAGTACGCTGCCGGGCACCATCGCAAACGGCCTACATGGCGAGCTGCCCTGGATGGGCGTCAAGCCTCCCAGTGAGGATGCAAGCACGCGCTAGAGGGCGCAAGGCCATGCCTAGCAGGGAGGTCAGGATCGGCAGAGCTGCGCGAGCAAGCCGTCCTTGTTAGTCATAAGCAGTAATGGCAATCGCGGCATGGCATGCTACATGGTGGAGCATGAGCCACAGCGCAAGGTGGACAGAGCGCAGAGGGGTTGGCTGCTGCACTAGGTAGCGCTGCTGGATGCGTGTAACCTGCGTGCATCAGCAGCCCCGCCACTACACACCATGGATGCCAACAGCTGCATGACAGACAGCAGTGCGAAGCTGCGCGGGCTCAGCTGTGGCAGGTTGCATCAGCACCACATGCGCCAGAACCGACGGTGTTGATTCAGTAGGTCCCTCGCGCGACAGCGCCCGCCACCGTGGGTCCCGGCCTGTCCCGAATACCTCCTTGACTACCGGGATCGCAGCTGCATGCCACATGTTGTTGTACGGCAATCCAACACATCCCATTACATCAGTCAGCGGTAGATAGTGGACTGCATGCGCTCCGCTTCTCGGGCTGCTCGCTTCCTTTCGATTCCTGCTTGGCATGCACACGCGCTGCACCTGTGTCAGAACTACGTCCATGTCCCACCCCAGCCACCCCGCAAAGATGGCGATGTGGTGCCATCCAGCCGCAGTGAGGTGGTAGGCCCCAGTGTGGTGTAGGGATGCCTACCAGCCCTGCAAGGTCAAGGTGCTCCCGCAGGTGCAGCCCAACGCATACGTGCTCAGCACAACCAGCACGTACCGTGCAACCTGTGGGGCTGCCACACCAGCAATCACATGTACTTTGTCATCACCTACTTGGGGGTGTACCAAAGTTGTCACTGCAGCAAGGACACACTCAAGGGCAGGCAGTTTGGAAGGTGCAAGGACGTGTCCATCCGCGTGCGCGCTGGGCGATGGGGGTTGTTCCCGGGAATAAAGCCCGCAGTGTCGGAAGCAGAGGTTATGCAGCGGCATTGCAGCCTGCTGCAGAAGTGCGCAGCGGCGTGAGGCTGGCTGGCTGCAGCTTGGTGGGCGTGACAGCAGACAGGATCACACTCACAAAGGCGATGACCAGCATAGCGCCACTAACGGCATGCCCACAATGCTGACGCAGCCATGGCTTCCTTGCCAGCGGCTCAGCTGCACCAGCATCATGCAGGCTGCATCTTCCAGTCCCTCGGCTCCTACGACTGTAAAATCAGCCTACCAACGCACTGAGGCCTGCGGTGGCCAGTGGACGAGCTGGACTGCAGCGAGCTCCAGTCCAGCGTAGGCTGACGCGTACTTGTATACTCCCGGACTCGGTGTCATAGCACTTTCGCGGCATGCTGCATTGGGGATGACATTGCCACGAAGCACGAGACTGCTGACAATGTTGCTGCATCCAGATCACCCCATCGGTCGACCTGCACGGTTACTGAGGGACGATTGGCCATCCGAATACACCAAAGCAATGATTAGAGCTGTATGCAGCGCGTCGTAGCTGTTTGCAGCTGGGAGCGTGTTGCGCACCCACGAACACCGAGACAGGGGTCAATATGTCCAGCAGGGTGGATGTATGGGACGTGCAGCGCGCCAAGGATGTCAAGCTCGACTGCGGCTTCCGCCGCCAGCCGCTCACCGAGAAGTACGAACTCGGCTGCGCTCTCGGCGAGGGCGGCTTCGGCGTCGTGCGCATCGTGCGCGCGCGCGACTCGGGCACAGAGTTCGCCTGCAAGACCATCCGCAAGCGCCTCGACGTCCCCAACCTTGCGGCGGCGAAGCAGCAGCAGCACCTTGACAACATCAAGCGTGAGGTCGCAATCCTGCGCAAGCTGCGCGGTACACTCAACGTCGTCTATCTGGAGGAGGCCTACGAGGACGACGAGGACGTGCACATAGTGCAGGAGCTCTGCCGCGGCGGGGAGCTGTTCCACCGCATCGGGCGGCGCCACTACAGCGAGCAGACGGTGCGCGCGGCTGGCGCCCGCTGCCGTTGGGGCGGCGGCGGCGGCGGCAGTGCATGCAGCATTACTCCAAACTCCACTAGTGCCGCCTCGACGGCAAGCCCGTGATATGACCTTGCAGTACCCTTTGACATGTGGGACCTATGCCATGTTCACAGCTGCGTGACAGGGCGAGGAGCCTGCAGCTGGTCCCTTGTACGGCGGGCGCAAAACTTGACCTTGCTATCCACACCACGTCTCTGGGCGAGGGCTCATGGCGGTGGCGGCATCTGCCCTTCCCACCAACCCGCTCTGCCAGGTGGCGTCATTCATGCGCGCGGTGCTGCGGACGCTGGCGCAGTGCGCCGCAAACCGCATCCTGCATCGCGACATCAAGGTGCGCCAAGGGGGGGCGCAGCAGGCTGGCAGGCACCAGGCAACTCGTTCGCTCACCAGGCACGGGCAAGAGTCGGTCATCTGTCGTGCACGCTGGCAACACCACCCCTGGTGTCGCCGAGCCTGTGATTACCCGCGCTCATGGCAGTCAGCAATCTGGCGTGCTCGCCAGCTGGCACGGCGCACTCTTCGCGCCGCCCGCACTCCATGCCGGCGTCCCCCCCAAACCCCAACCCCAGCCGGGGAACTTCATGCTGCTGACGGAGGCAGATGACTCACCTCTCAAGGCCATTGGTGAGAGTGACGGGCGCCAGAGCGGAGGTCACCAGCTCTTTACAAAGCCTGTCATACGGCGTGGCATATAGAAAGCGGCGCCCGTGTGCTGAGCAGCAGCTACTCAGCCGAATGTGTCGTCGTGTCACACGCGGGGGTGGCAAGTGATGATGCGGTTTGATTGTGGCGGCAGGGTGTGGCGGCAGCAAGCAGGGCGAGCCAGCAGCTTGGCCCGGCTGGTGCCGTCTTGCACGTGGCCGTCGCAAGCTGCCGCGCCGCGCCCTGGCCCTCCCTCGTCCGCATGGCCCCCCGTTTCCTGCCTCCCCCTGCCAAGACTTTGGCCTGGCGGTGTTCTTTGACCCCAAGCAGCTGCCCCGCACTGACCTGGGGCTGGAGGGCACACCCTGGTGAGGCCGCCCGCCTCAGCCCAAGCCCTTGGCTCAAGGGGCTTGCCTCTGGCACGCCTCGTCCAACCGCACGCCTGGCATGGCAGCCTCGTCTTCTGGCACTGCAAGTCGTGACGGGCGTGTGCGCCCTAGCCGTCACCCAAAGCTTTTCAAAGTCCAGAGAGACTCACGCACGGACAAGTTTCAGGCTGAAGCGCCGGGAGCGCGGTGCCTTGCAACAAGGCCTGCGGATTCAAGCCTGACACATCCACACCATGGCCTCATAACGTCAGTCCAACTCTAGTCCCCCCTCTCAAACATGCTCCCCACCGACGCCCTCCGCCCGCCCACCCGCCCACCCATTGACCTCACCCCGATTTGACGCACCAAGGTACATGGCCCCCGAGGCGCTCTCCTCCGCCGTGGAGCCCGTGAGTGACGTCTGGGCCGCGGGCGTGATGGCCTACCAGCTGCTGAGCGGCAAGTTCCCCTTTGACGACTGGCAGCACCCGGAGGCGCCCAGCCTGTCGCTGGTGTGGCGCAGCGTGCTGACGGAGGTGCCGCGGTTCAGCGGGAAGAGCTGGGAGGGCATCAGCGACGCCGCCAAGGCGTTCTGCAGGAGGGTCCTGGTCAAGTGAGTGACGTCATCATGGGGGAAGAGCAGCGGCTGGGGTTCTGTCATGGACTTCGACTGCGCGCTTCGCGCTCGGCCAGGAATACTGGGGCGGTCACAGGGCGGTGTTCTTAGTGGGGTGGGGCTCCTCGCGTAGAAAAGAAGACGGCGATTGGTTCGGGAACGCGCATGTGAGTGGTCCGGCCCAGCTGCCGTCCAAACACCGCGCAGCAGCCCCACGCCGCCGCGCCCTTCGCCGCGCCCCCCGCCTCCTGCCGCAGGGACCCCCGCAAGCGCCCCAGCGCGCGCGAGGCGCTGCAGGACCCCTGGCTGCTGGGCAACGTGAAGCAGCGCTCGCGGGGCGCGCAGCTCAGCAGCGTGGTGCAGCGGCTGCAGCGCTACAACCAGCAGAACGTGTTCAAGCGCACAGTCCTGGATATGATGGCGAACGAGCTGCTGAGGCGCCACTTGGAGAGGCTGGAGGAGGAGGACCGCCAAATGGAGGGCAGCCAGGGGGGCGGCAGC